GGCCCTTGCTCATGCCCAACCAGTAGTATTAACACCTTGATTGCACATTCCACGGATCCCTTCTCTCTCTAACATAAATACCCTTTGCACTGCAGATTATTTCTCCAGTCCATCTCAACATTTGGCAACTATGAACCCAATTACAAATAAGTAAGTGCAGTGAGCTTTGTGATCGAGGAGGGCACAGATCCGGACAGCATGTTGTAGCAGAGAACGCTGCAGGTGGTGTGAGGGGTAGACGCACGGGAAGAGAGGAGGTGAAGAGGCTGAGAGAGGAGATAGATAGAAGGATGGAGTAGACATGGACATAAGTCTGAGTTGATGGCTCAGCTTGTCGGCTCGGCTTGTCGGCAGGACGGGCTAGGCAATGATCCTGCTACACCGGCTCTGCTGCTAGCTTGACGAGCCGGGATTGTCAAGACCCGGCAGTCAGCTCAATGAGTGGTAGTCTGCTCATCAGTGAGCCTTTACAGGCTTGTTCATGAGAGTCGTTACTCTTACCCCGTTCATGTGTAAATGGCATATCTGGAAGAGTTTTTGTACACCGCTCGTGGAAATGCTGGCTCGATTACCTCGCTCCAATGGGACGAGCCATGAGTCAAGTCAGCTGCCGGCCAGGGGATACGAGCTTGGCTTGTCAGCCCACCGGCTTGTCACGGCTCGAAACGAGCCAGCTCGGCCCAGACATATGCTCGTGTGACAGAAAGAAGCCTTACAGGGATGCCATTGATAGGAGAGAGCCAATTTCCACAGGGATTGAACCCGTGAGCTGATTACTCTTGAGGGACCTGCCATTGCGTACAAATGCAAGAAGGAAGCACCAGAGCAGCAAGTGGGGTTTAACTGTGTCAGACAGGGGATGGAGGGATATTTCCATCAAGACAAGCCTCTACGGCTGAGGAGTGGAAAGCTGATGACACCGCTAGATGAAAATGGTTTCAGAAACTAGGGTAGTAAGGAGAAAGAAGCGAACTTGTGATGGTAGTGGAATTGGCCACACCAAAGCAAGGGAAAAGCACATCAGCACCGCATTTGAACCACAACTCATCCATTCATAGCATTGATGACGGGGTGGAATTGCACCCCCATCTCACCCCCATATGTTGTTAGCTATGCTCAACATAAGAAAAGCTCTTTTGTGCGAGGAATCTGATTGCACTAGACCAGAGTGCCACTAACAGGTAAGAAATTTGGGTGAGTGTGCCGATGGTAGCAGGAATGCTGCCAGACAGCTGGTTGCGTGAAAGGTCTCTGGGTAAAAACAAAAAGCCTCAATCTAAAATATAAATCGGATTTGTAGTAAGGTGAGGTGAATGGATAGAAAAAGAGACACGGAAAACTTTCGATATTATGCGGGGCAGCGATGATGTTGGGGAACAACAGCCAAGGGTGAAAAACGAATGAAGATGACCTTTCCTTGGAGAAAAATGAGTCGAAGCAAGACGCAAGAAGAATGAGAAACAACGCGAGTGAGATATGATCTTATGGCAAAACATGAGCATCGAACTAATCTAGATGAGGCAAGACATTAGAAGAATGTGAAACAACAGGAGAGGCGCAATGATCATGTGACGGTTCAATTGAGGGGCACCTAGGAGGAGATAGTCAGGTGAAGACGAATCAGGGGAGAGCAAAATGTTGAGGTATAGAGTATAGTAAGCAGGGGAGGAAAGGTTCTTGGGAGAGCACAGGAGATGTGCAAAGAACAACAGAAAGCAATCCACTAACATGCTTATCAAGTTGGTGAGAACGCCAATGTCATCCGGGATGGGACCATTGAGCTGGTTGAGGGCAAGCGACCTGTCCCAATCAGGGTGCCCAAGCAGTGGTGCCAGTGCAACGGGGCGAGTGGTTTCTGGGCGAGGGTATGGAACTAGGTAGGTAGAGACAAGAGCAAAGTGCGAGTATAGTAATGCTCTTCTTGTTGGGGGGTACCTGGTTCGAGTAACGATGGGAGACTAGAATTATTCAGATGAAAAGCTTCTCGACTTTCATCGCTTCGTAACTCGCACTTCCACAGTTGATTTTCTGGACACGATCATTTTTTTACTCGTCACAGAGCTAGTAGTGCTCGCCTACATTTGTCCATGGCTAGGTAGGTTACAAGGACAATGACGATGATTCGTGCGTAGGAACTAATACTCGCCTCCCCAGGATGTGCTAGATCACTGAGAAACGAAGTGAAGGGACTGGTCATACGACAGACCGATGTGTCAGCTCCAGTCACACGTGGATTTGGTGAACAGTAAATCTACAGGTGAATGCAGGAGCATGTATGGGACTTGGCTGGTAAAATCTACCCCTTGGCAACAAAACAAGAGCTTGGTTACAAGAGAGGAGCACAAGTCAGAGGCGCATGAGAGGCAGAAGCACGTGAGGCCGAAGTTCACGCTTGGATAAAAAAACAACTATTTCTTAGTTGGCGCACGTAGCCCTTAGTAAGCAGACTCGGTAAGCAGACTCATTTGAAGCAGTGAGGTAAAAGATCTCTCAGAATCATCAGTGCATTCAGCTTTGTGATTGAGGAGGGCATGGAGCCAGAAAGCATGTTGGAGGAGAGATAGCTGAGGGAGTTACGGCAATGCAGGTGTATTGACAGGACAATGAGGTTACGGAACGTGACAACAGCAGGATAGAATCGCCAGCTTCGTTTCTAATATTCACTATCCTTCATTCACAACCCAGCATGTCAGTGGAAATTCTCAGGGCTTTCTTTCGAGATCTAGAAACTTGATTTGCAACAAAGTGTCGTCAGCTCAGCTCTTTAGACCGACCGACATCTGTACCCCAAACTTGTCTTCCCAATGCTCTTTTCTTCCCAACCCTTTTATCCCCCCCACTGCTCCAAATCGCACTCCTGCCGTCCACAGTCCACTCCAACAACTCTGCTTCTTACATGTGGAGAGGCTCATGTTCCCTTCCCATGCAATCTCCCGTAGCTTTGCCAAAAGCAGTGAGCGCAGTAAGATTTTTCCCCTTTCCCTAATTCCCACTTACCTGGCTTAGTGGGCACAGCATATTTCTGGCATCTCCTCGGCCAGAGTGAAGCGAATACATGTAGTGCAGAGTGACAATTCCAACTTTATTCTCACCTGACGTTCACCACAGACCACCACTCCTTCCCATCAAGGAATGTTGGCAGTGTTGGGAGGAAAGGAACACAAGCAAGAAGGGGAACGAGCAAGGAGGAGAGCAGCGAAGGCAAGAAGGGTAGATTAGAGGGTGTTGTAATAATGTACTTTAAACAAAATCCATAGACTAGACTAGATTACAGGGTGCAGTCGCTTGTTGTACTGGAGGGTTGTTGTTTGGTGTACCCTCCAACCACAGCTTGTAGTTGGTCAACATTGGATTTGGTCCTTGGTTGGCATTTGCCAACCCTTGGTCCTTAGCTCCACCAATCCCAACCAACTTACAATTGTGGTTGCTTGGGCTACAACAAACCTCACCCGTTGGCCAACTTAGTGGCCAGTAGGGTTAATCTCCTTCTCACTCTTCTCTTCTTGTCTCCTTGTATTATAGAGCCTCTTGGTTCATTACTCAAAACAACTTATTACTTTCTAAGGGCCAGTGCAAAAATGCAGTCTACAAGAACAAGTAGAGGACGTAAGAGCAGCGTTGAAGGGATGAGTGATGCCGGAAAGATCAGCAGCATCAAGAAACCTCACAGGGATAACATGCTGGTGAGTGAGCCAATGTCAGCCGGGATAGCGCCGGTAAGGGTGTTGTTAGGGAGCCACCTTCTCGAACAGAAGAAAAGGGGTTGTGTGCATACGAGGGTGCAAACATGCATGTCGTAGTTGGGCAAGTACGTTTTTTAGGTCACGTTTTTCGCGTAAAGTCGGAGAGGCAGGTGAGAAGAATTGCTCTCGCAAGAAAAAGAAAAAAAAAAAAAAAAAAAAAACCTGGATCTGAACAGTTGGGTTAGTAATGACCTGTTGCTAGGTTGATGAATAAGGACAAACGAGGGGTAAGATTCCCCTAGATGTACCAAATCAGTTTTGCTAACATCCTACGTAAGATGGAATCACACAAGTGTAGTGCAATATATCAATATAGATTATGCAGTCTAGGGAAGTCAAGAAAAACTCCTCCTGGGCGGAAACCTTCTCCAATCCCCTGTACCTTACTCTCGTAAAATGGTCCTTGTGGTTTTTCTTACTCTCTTAAAACGTAAAACAAGCCCGCCCAAGCGGGCAAGGGATAGAGAGAGAAGGGGGGAGAAAAATACAAGGGCAGTGCGGTTAGGTTGAAGGGAGGCCAGATGTGAGAAAAAGGGGGGAAAGAAAGAGGAAAATATGAGAGGAGGGACAGGGGTGGGCTATAGAAGAGATGGTGACATGTCGCTGAGGACGTACAGAAAAGTGAGCTTGCTAAGGCTGCTGAGGGAGTTTGGGATCTGCCCTCCCAGCTTGTAATTTGGGAGCCGCCTGTTTTATGGTGTGTGAATGATGGTGTGTGAATGATGGTGTGTGAATGATGGCGAGTCAAATAATGGTGATCTATATGCTTGGTTTCTCAAGATTGGCGATAAAGGTGAGTACGTGTGGCCTCTTGCACTCAACCTCTCAACCCCATCCTCTCACTCCCAGCCTCTCACGCCGATCCTCTCACTCTCTCCCATACTCTCAACTCCCAGCCTTCACTCCATCCTCATTCCCACAACCTCCCTCCCACCGCCTCCCTCCCATCGCCTCCCTCCCATCGCCTCCCTCATATCGCCTCCCTCTCATCGCCTCACAGGGCAATGATCATGCCGGAGGGGTCGCACGTGAGGCCCGTGGCACTGCTGCAGTCGGGACTCGCACCACTCCACCCGGGGATGCTCCGCCCCCATGCTGTCTGGCACTCCTGCAGGAATTGCACTGCAATGAGCAGCGGTGGATGGGGGGCAGGGGGGGACATCGTGTGTCCTCCTTGCCCACCTCGCCTCTCGCTTTTGCAATGTGTGTCGCACAACTCACCCACAGGGATGAGCCCCCTCTGGCCAACAAAACATGATGTCAAACACCTTGTTCTGGGATGGGACGCCCATGCCCTTGCTCTCCTCTGCCCCACGGTTTCCCTCGGCCCCTCGCCCTTGCTCTCAGCCCCTCGCCCTTGCTCTCAGCCCGTCGCCCTTGCCCTCAGCCCCTCGCCCTGCCCTCAGCCCCTCGCCCTTTGCTCCATGTCCTCGCTCTCTGTCCTTCGCTCTCTGTCCTTCGCTCTGTCCTTCACCCTTTGCTCTCTGTCCTCCGCCCATTCTCTCTCGCCCTTTCTCTCTGTCCTTCGCCCTTCGCTCTCTCTCCTTCGCCCTTCGCTCTCTGTCCTTCGCTCGTTGCTCTCTCTCCTTCGCCCTTTCCTCTCTGTCCTTCGCTCGTTGCTCTCTCTCCTTCGCCCTTCCTCTCTATCCTTCGCTCGTTGCTCTCTGTCCTTCGCCCTTCACTCTCTCTCCTTCGCTCGTTGCTCTCTGTCCTTCGCCCTTCGCTCTCTCTCCTTCGCTCGTTGCTCTGTCCTTCGCCTTCGCTCTCTCTCCTTCGCTCGTTGCTCTGTCCTCCGCCCATTCTCTCTCGCCCTTTCTCTCTGTCCTTAGCCCTTCGCTCTCTCTCCTTTGCCCTTCGCTCTCTGTCCTTCGCTCGTTGCTCTCTCTTCCTTCGCCTTTCCTCTCTGTCCTTCGCTCGTTGCTCTCTGTCCTTCGCCCTTCGCTCTCTCTCCTTCACTCGTTGCTCTCTGTCCTTCGCCCTTCGCTCGTTACTCTGTCCTTCGCCCTTCGCTCTCTCTCCTTCGCTCGTTGCTCTCTGTCCTTCGCCCTTCGCTCTCTCTGCTTCGCTCGTTGCTCTGTCCTTCGCCCTTCGCTCTCTCTCCTTTGCTCGTTGCTCTGTCCTTCGCCCTTCGCTCTCTCTCCTTCGCTCGTTGCTCTGTCCTTCGCCCTTCGCTCTCTCTCCTTTGCTCGTTGCTCTGTCCTTCGCCCTTTGCTCTCTCTCCTTCGCTCGTTGCTCTGTCCTTCGCCCTTCGCTCTCTCTCCTTCGCTCGTTGCTCTCTGTCCTTCGCCCTTCGCTCTCTCTCCTTCGCTCGTTGTTCTGTCCTTCGCCCTTCGCTCTCTCTCCTTCGCTCGTTGCTCTCTGTCCTTCGCCCTTCGCTCTCTCTCCTTCGCTCGTTGTTCTGTCCTTCGCCCTTCGCTCTCTCTCCTTCGCCCTTCGCTCTCTCTCCTTCGCTCGTTGCTCTGTTCTCCGCCCATTCTCTCTCGCCCTTTCTCTCTGTCCTTCGCCCTTCGCTCCCTCTCCTTTGCCCTTCGCTCTCTGTCCTTCGCTCGTTGCTCTCTCTCCTTCGCCTTTCCTCTCTGTCCTTCGCTCGTTGCTCTCTGTCCTTCGCCCTTCGCTCTCTCTCCTTCACTCGTTGCTCTCTGTCCTTCGCCCTTCGCTCTCTCTCCTTTGCTCGTTGCTCTGTCCTTCGCCCTTCGCTCTCTCTCCTTCGCTCGTTGCTCTGTCCTTCGCCCTTCGCTCTCTCTCCTTTGCTCGCTGCTCTGTCCTTCGCCCTTCGCTCTCTCTCCTTCGCCCTTCGCTCTCTCTCCTTCGCTCGTTGCTCTGTCCTTCGCCCTTCGCTCTCTCTCCTTCGCTCGTTGCTCTGTCCTTCGCCCTTCGCTCTCTCTCCTCGCTCGTTGCTCTGTCCTTCGCCCTTCGCTCTCCCTCCTTCGCTCGTTGCTCTGTCCTTCGCCCTTCGCTCGTTGCTCTGTCCTTCGCCCTTCGCTCTCTCTCCTTCGCTCGTTGCTCTGTCCTTCGCCCTTCGCTCTCTCTCCTTCGCTCGTTGCTCTTTCCTTCGCCCTTCGCTCTCTCTCCTTCGCCCTTCGCTCTCTCTCCTTCGCCCTTCGCTCTCTGTCCCTAGGCGCGGTCATGCCGCCACATGGGCGGCGCGTATGGGGTGACAGCAGCGCGCATGGCGGGACATCGACTCGTTGTACTAAACAGCTTAAGCTAGCGTGGTATACGCCATTTCGGTGACATTTCGGTGGCATGTTAATGCTGATGCGACTCCTCCTATTGCCCTGCCGCGGGGTCTCGGGGCGAGTGCCACGCGAAATCGATATCCGGCGATCAAAGACGGCCTTTAGGGGCGAACCTTGAGTGGCTTCTAGCGGCACGGCCTTCACCATGATGATCATCGCGACGGGCGCGACAAGGACGAGCCACCACACCACTGCCCACGCGCGCTGCACGCGCTCGCGATCACGTGCCATCGCCGCCCCTGAGCCCGCAGCCTGCCGTCAATCGCAATTCGCCTACTCAAACGGCCTCCTTTGGGGCCTATCGCAGAACTGACACACTAAAAAGTGGTTTGCCGACGCGCCGACTCTCTGAAGCACGAAAAGCCGCGCTAGAGGGTACGCGCGCCGTGGCAAGCCTTCCCAGAGAGGTCGGTTGACACGCGCACCAAGTGGTTGGGGGTTGATGCTACATCCACTTCTCAACCATCTGACAAGTGGGTCGCATATGCTATTGCCACTGAAAACTGTTCCTACTTGCAAGACAAGATGTTACACACTTCAAACATTGTTATGAGTTGTATTAAACAGAGTTGTACTAAATAGTGCGCGCGGAAAACTGTATAAAAATAATGAATTGCTGAATGACGAGTAGAATAAAGGAGCGAGCATTTATAGGGTCAAAACCGTGCTAGGCGAGAACCTCGGGACGTTGTGGGTGTCAAACATTATATATGTTGTGTTTGTTTAGGCTACAGTGGGTTAGCCTATAGGGGGTACACAATTCTAAGGTTTGGTACTTGTACTGCTTTCACTCATAGTTCAATCATTCCAGTCTCTTCTTTTTGACATGGTTTCAGAGCAGGTCCTTCGCTAGGACCGTTCTTAGGGCCCACCACTGAATACCTACCTACCTATCTACTGTCGGAGTGCTGCGTTAGCGCCTCCCCCTCAGCGCCCTCGTGCGCCCTCGTTTACGGCCCCCCCTAAGGCCCCGTCGACCCCGCGCGCCGCCCCTTAGCGATTCGCGCGCCGCCCCTTAGTGGCCCCGTCGAACCCGCGCGCGCCCCGATTTCGGCCCCGTTTGGCCCCGTCGACCCGCGCGCGTCCCCCCTTAGAGGCCCCGCTGGCCCCGTCGACCCGCGCGCGCCCCGCTTACGGCCCCGTCGGTCCCGCACGCGCCCCGCTTACGGCCCCGTCGACCCCGCGCGCACCCCGTTTAGCGGCCCCGCGGCCCCGTCGAACCCCAACTAGCGGCCCCGCGGCCCCGTCGCGTCCCGCCTAGAGGCCCCGCGGCCCCGTCGCGTCCCGCTTAGAGGCCCCGCGGCCCCGTCGCGCCCCACCTCACGGCCCCGCGACCCCGTTGCGCCCCGCTTAGCGGCCCCGCGGCCCCGTCGAGCCCCGCTTAGAGGCCCCCCGCGGCCCCGTACCGCCCCGCTTAGAGGCTCTGCGCAGCCGCCACTGCAGCAGCAGCCCCTGGAGCAGCCGCCACTGCAGCAGCAGCCCCTGGAGCCGCCCGCCACTGCAGTAGCAGCCCCTGGAGCCGCCCGCCACTGCAGCAGCCCCCTCTGGAGCAACCACCGCTGCAGCAGCCGCCCCTGGCCCCTGGAGCCGCCGCCACTGCAGCAGCCGCCCCTGGCACCTGGAGCAGCTGCCGTCGCGGCCCGGCCTCGCCCTGCAGCAGCTGCCGCGGAGCTCCCTGCTGCGGCCCGGCCCAGCCCTGCAGTTGTAGCGGCCCCGCTGTCGCCACCGTCTTGCGCCTGCCGCGCCGACCACTGGTGAGCATTGCCCAGCACTGCTACCGCTGCTACTGCTGCTACTGCCTTTTCTACTCCCACTGCCACAGCTCCTGCTGTTACTACTGTTGCTGCCGCTACTGCTACTACTGCTGCTCCTGGCGTGGCCAGATGCAGCTCCAGGGCCGTGCGCGTGAGTCCCTCACGCCCCAGCAGCTTCGTGCGCGTGAGTGGTACGCTAGTTGGGGCTGTCGGGGTGGCCGTAGTGGTGGTCGCTCTGGAGTGGGTCGGTCGGGAGCTTCTGGTAGTGGACAGGTGCAGCTGCCGTGCCCTCCTTCGCCCCAGCTGCTTCGTGCGCGTGCGTGGTACGCTAGTTGGGGCTGTCGGGGTGGCCGTCGTGGTCGTCGCTCTGGAGTGCGTTGTTCGGGAGCATCTGGTAGTGGACAGGTGCAGCAGCAGTGTCCTCTTACGCTCCAGCGGGCCCGAGAGTGGTACGCCAGTTTGGGCTGTCGGGGTGGCCGTAGTGGTAGTCGCTCTGGCGTGCGTTGTTCGGGAGCATCTGGTAGTGGACAGGTGCAGCAGCAGTGTCCTCTTACGCTCCAGCGGGCTCGTGAGTGGTACGCCAGTTTGGGCTGTCGGGGTGGCCGTAGTGGTAGTCGCTCTGGCGTGCGTTGTTCGGGAGCATCTGGTAGTGGACAGGTGCAGCAGCAGTGTCCTCTTACGCTCCAGCGGGCTCGTGAGTGGTACGCGAGTTTGGGCTCTCGGGGTGGTGGTCGTGGTAGTCACTCTGGAGTGCGTCGTTCGGGAGCTTCTGGGGGCGGACTGGTGCAGCAACCGTGTAGTGTGAGTGAGGCTGCCGCTCTAGGTGCTAGTGAGACCGCCACTGCAGGTGCTCGCGTGTCTGCCACCTCAGGTCCTGGTGAGGCTGCTGCTCTAGGTGCTCGTGCGTCCGTGCCCGCTGGTACTGAGTCGACTGCAGCACTGCACACCTTCACACTGGACTCAGGTGCTTCTCGCTGTTTCTTTCGTGACCGCACTATCCTTGAGCCACTCGCTCGGCCAGTTGCTGTCTCCCTCGCTGACCCCTCTGGGGGTCCGGTCGTTGCGACCTCCTCCACTGTCCTTCCTTGTCCTGCGGTCCCGTCAGGCACACTGTCAGGTCTCTACCTCCCCTCGTTCTCTACGAACTTGGTGGCAGGTAGTGCGCTCCAGGATGGGGGTGTCCACCAGTTCACCCCTGCTTACGAGCGCGTGACCCACTGCACGTGTGCTCGGACGGGCCGTCACCTGGCTACCTTCACTCGGCAGCCGGGGTCGGACCTGTACACACTGACCACTGAGTCCCCTCAGGTAGCTGCGTCCGCGTCTGCGTCTGCGTCAGGTCAGCTGTCCGCCCCCTGCTCGTGTCGCTCTCTGGCGCATGAGACTGTCCTCTGGCACCACCGACTTGGTCACCCGTCTGTGCAGCGCCTTCGGGCCATGCACAAACGGGACCTTGTTGCTGGTCTTCCCAGGGTTCTCCCTCCCCTCTGACCCTCGCCTGCTCCTCCCTGTCTTCCCTGTGTCGAGGGGCGGCAGCGCGCCGCTCCTCACTCCTCCTTCCCCCCGACGACTGCTCCTTTGCAGACGCTCCACATGGACGTGTGGGGCCCAGCCCGCGTCCGTGGTCAGGGTCAGGAGAGGTACTTCCTGATTGTTGTTGATGACTTCTCGCGCTACACCACGGTCTTCCCCTTGCGCGCCAAGGGTGACGTCCCTGATGTCTTGATCCCTTGGATCCGCAGATCTCGTCTCCAGCTCAGTGAGCGTTTCCGCTCCGACTTCCCTGTCCTGCGTCTGCACTCTGACAGAGGTGGGGAGTTTTCCTCTGGCCTCTTGGAGGCCTTCTGTCAGCAGGAGGGCATTGAGCAGTCGTTCACGCTTCCGGCCTCTCCGCAGCAGAATGGGGTTGCTGAGCGCCGCATTGGCTTGGTCATGGAGGTCGCTCGTACCTCCTTGGTTCATGCGGCTGCCCCCCACTTTCTGTGGCCGTTTGCAGTCCGATACGCTGCGCATCAGCTCAACCTCTGGCCCCGTGTCTCCTTACCGGAGACTTCTCCGACACTGCGTTGGACGGGAGAGGCTGGCGATGCGTCGCGTTTTCGGGTCTGGGGATCCCGAGCTTTTGTTCGCGACACGTCCGCGGACAAGCTCTCCCGTCGAGCTGTCCCCTGTGTTTTCCTTGGCTTTGTCCCGGACGCGCCTGGTTGGCAGTTCTACCACGCCACCTCGCGTCGGGTCCTTGCCTCTCAGGACGTCACTTTTGACGAGTCCGTCCCCTACTACCGCCTCTTCCCCTACCGCACTGCCCCGCTCCCCCCCCCGCCTCTCTTCCTCGCTCCAGGTGCTGAGGTCCCAGACCCCCTCCCCCCTCAGGGTGCCGCTCCCTCAGGTGTGTCCCAGGTAGACCCGGTTGAGCCTGCTGAGGTAGCTGTTGACTCTCGTCCTGCTGGGGGTGCTGAGCCTGACCGTGCTGAGTCTGGAGGTGCTGAGCCTGGGGGTGCGGAGTCTGGGGGTGCTGAGCCTGGAGGTGCTGCGTCTGGGGGTGCTGAGCCTGGAGGTGCGGAGTCTGGAGGTGCTGAGCCTGGGGGTGCTGCGTCTGGGGGTGCTGTGTCTGGAGGTGCTGAGCCTGAGCGTGCTACACCTGGAGGAGCCCTCTCCTCCCAGCAGCTGCAGGAGAGGTACCTACAGTACTGCCGCCTCCGGAGAGGTGCTACTGGAGCTCGTTCCGGTACTTCCCCTCCTGCCCAGGAGCTCCCCCCCATTCAGCAGATCCGAGAGTGGTACACGCGGCGCTGCAGTCTTCGGAGTGGTGCTCCTGGTGCTGCGGACCCTGGGGGTGGCGCTGCTGCTGGTGCTGAGGACCCGGGCGTTGGAGCTACTGCTGGAGCTGAGGACCCGGACGGTGGAGCTGCTGCTGGAGCTGGGGACCCGAGCGGTGGAGCTGCTGCTGGAGCTGAGGACCCGGCTGGTGGAGTTCCTGCTGGTGCTGCGGACCCGAGCGGTGGCGCTGCTGCTGGTGCTGCGGACCCGGGCGTTGGAGCTACTACTGGAGCTGAGGACCCGGACGGTGGAGCTGCTGCTGGTGCTGAGGACCCGGGAGCTGGAGCTGCTGCTGGTGCTGAGGACCCTGCTGCTGGTGTCTCTGCTGGTTCTGGAGACGCTGCGCGGCCGCGACCGCGACCGTACTTCGTCCCGCTTCTTCAGCAGGTTCTTGGTCAGGCTCCTCCTCCTTGTCCTCCTC